TATAAACCCCAATAAAAGCCGAATTAAAAACCAAATATTGCCAGCTGTGTTTCCGATTAAAATTACTTTTAAAATCATCCCTACCTAAAATCCTCCCTAGGTCAGGCCCGCTTGCTGGAAAAGCCATGTCTTGAGGGCGCGGCGGAAAGTAAGGAGATCCGGAATCATCCGGATCTCGGGGGGTAGTTCGTTCCAGAGGTTGGGGCCACCCACAGAGAAGGCCCTCCCCCTGGGGGTCGCCAGCCTACATTGCTTGGCCGACGGCACCCTGAGGAGGCCCGCTCTGTGGGAGCGTACCGGTCTATGGGAGGGAATCTGTGGCAGAAGGCGGTCTCGGAGGTAGCCAGGTCCATATATAACAGAGTCAAAGAAAAACAAGGAATGAATACTAACTCTACAAAAATAGCTGTCATTAAACAATTATCTCTAGTTAAAAATGCAGTGGGAAATTATCAGTGAATGCTAAATGGTTTTAAAATCCTTGCAAGTTTTGTCAGCAAAATCACCCAGCTGATTTTGCAACCAAGTGGAATATTACATTGATGTTTGTGAATTTTTTTCATGACATGCTATTCTTAAAAATTCAATTGTGTAGTGTAATACTAAAACTGTTAATACGTACTACTAAGTTCAGATAATGGCAAATGAGGTGAGGTGAGGTGAGATGAGATGAGATAAGATAAGATAACCTTTATTGTCATTTTTTACTGTGGGCACAACGACACACATCAAAAATGAAATTTAGTTGCCGCTCTCAAAGTGAACACGTACATGACACACACCTAAACATACTATATACAACAAATACATACTATATACAACATATGCATACTATATACAACATATGTATAGACTTACACCCCTACATATACATAACATGAATATTAAACACTGTCCATCTTGAATATATAATTGACAAATTAAAGTGCTGCTTCATGTCTGCACTTTTGTAGAGTAGTGGTGAAGTCAACTGTTTAACAAAATTTATACTGTGTCTCTTTTATATTTGAAAACATAGCATTCATACTTTACATTTTTTTTGCACATGCAAAAGAATAGTTTACAGGAATTTTGTGCGTGTATGTTTTCAGACCAGACAAGATATGAGGGTACTATGTTACATTCATCCAGTTGTTTCCTTTTAAAACAAAATGTGGGATTATTGTTTGAAACAGGAACAGTGGGGAAGTAGAGACTTCCTTACATTGTTCAGTTATATAGTAGCTGCTTAATAAAAGGATTTTCCCCACCTCCTTCGAGTAGGAAGGCAGCTCACATGGAAACCTTTTGTGAAAAATGGATTAAGCCACCTGTTTCTTTCAACAACCCTAAAACTTGACAATTTCTCATAAAGCAAGTGAAATATTTTGATGCATTTAATAACATAATGTACAACAGCTTTAGAAACATAAAATGCTACATCAATTTTCTGCTCCTCTCCTCCTCAGTGAGGGGACATACTTATAGTTTCAAGAGATTTTATTGGAGTATAGAGATTAGTCATGATCGGAGATATATCTCCATGGGCCTTTCCCCACACTCTCAGCAATGTATACCACTTTTAAGAAACCATTGCTCTATTTATGGAACAGGCTACTTTATCTTTTTCAGTGGCATCATAGCTGTGTTTACATTTTTCTTCAGCTTGATGCTAAACCATTGAGTTTCACTCATTGGGTCTAAGTCAGTGGTTCTCAACCTTTTTAATGCCGCGACCCCCAACCGGTCGTAAGTCGAGGACTAAACCGGTCGTAAGTCGAGGACTTTCCCTGCCCGGGAGCACCGCGCATGCGTGGTTCCGCCCCCTGCGCCGGCCGAGGCGTAGCTGGCAAGCGGCAGAGACGGAGCAGGCTGACCACCAGCTGGCCCAGCTCAAGGGAGGTAAGGCACCCGCCGGAAAAGGGGAAAAAAATGGCGGACAGCCTTGCTTGGCGACCCCCATGAAATGGTCGATCGACCCCAAATGGGGCCGCGACCCATAGGTTGAGAACCGCTGGTCTAAGTGTTCAGCCAGCTTTAGCATTGTCCAGTGCACAATTTACTTCTTCTCTAGTAGACTCTTATGGGATACTTACCATTTTAAATGCTTTACTCAAGTCAAGATACATTATGTCCACTACTAGTCAACTAAATGAGTCAATCTACCAAAAATGAGATCCTGCCAACAATGCATTCTTTTCTAAATAATCACAAAGTGGCTACTTAATAATTCATTACAGAATTTTGCCGAATATTGGAATATCAAAGTAGGTTAACCTGTAATTATCCAGATCCACTCTTCTCTGAAAATAAAAGCAATATTTGTCCCTCTTAAATTCTTTGCAACAATGCCCATCTACTACAATTGCTCAAAATTCACAGAAAGAGCTCCAATATGACACTGTAAACTCCTTTTCTCAAATATAATTCATCTGGTCCTGGAGACTTGTTCATGAAAACCAGGTGCTCCCTAGCCATAGTTTAACTTGGGGTTCTTGCTCCTTATTTTGTCAACTGTTTTGTTTACATCCATTTGATATCCATCTCCCTTTTAGGAGAAAACCAAAACAAGATCTGCTCTCTCTTCATGTATATTATTATCATATTATCTTTTCCAAACATACAGTGCATTCAGAAAGTATTCAGACCCCCTTCCTTCACTTTTGTCAATTTTGTTATGCTGCAGCCTGATTCTAGTTGCTGAAATTCATTTTTTCTCATTAATCTACGTTCAGTATCCCATAACAACAAAGTGAAAACAGAATTTTAGAAATGTCTGTAAATTTATGAAAAGGAAAAACTGAAATATCACATTGGCATAAGTATTCAGACCCTTCACTCAGTACTTTGTTGAAGCACCTATGGCAGCAATTACAGCCTCAAGTCCTTTTGGGTATGTCACAGCAAGCTTTACATACCTGGATTGGGGGATTTTCTGACCATTGGTGGACAGCCATTTTCAGGTCCCTTCAGAGATGTTCAATAGGGTTCAAGTCAGGGCTCTGGCTGGGCCACTCTTGGACATTCACAGAACTGTCCCTAAGCCACTCCTGTGTCATCTTGGCTGTATATTTAGGATCATTGTCATGTTGGAAAGTGAACCTTTGGCCCAGTCTGAGGTCCTGAGCACTGTGGAACAGGTTTTCATTGAGGATATCCATTCAGCTTTCCCTCAACCCTGCTGTCCCTGCTGCTGAAAAACATCCCCACAGCATGATGCTGCTATCACCATGCTTCACTGTTGGGATGGTATTGGGCAGGTGATGAGTGGTGCCTAGTTTCCTTCAGACATAACATTTAGAATTGAGGCCAAACAGTTCAATCTTGGTTTCATCAGACCAGAGAAACTATGTTTCTCATCTTCTGTACACTTTTCTCCCAGGAAGGACAACAGTTGGCAAAGCAAAAGCCCCAGTATGCAGATATTGTGTTCCAGAAGCTAGAGGCACTTCATCAACGTTGGGATATGCTGCAAGCAACCACAGAGGAAAAGGCACAGCTCCTGTTCGATGCTAACCGCTCTGACCTTTATGCACAGAGCTATGCTGACCTTAGTGCTTGGATCAGTGAGATAGAGGAACAGTTAAAATCTGATGTCCAAGGGAAAGATCTCACAAGTGTTAACATTCTTCTAAAGAACTTGAAAGTAAGTAACAATCCTCCTAAAGTTAATTAGACACAAATAACGACCTTTGGGGAATACCTGATAAACGTATTTTGTCTTTTTTTTACTTGACTTTCGTTGTAAACGTCAGACAACAAGTTCATAACAGATCTACTCTTGTCGTTACTATAGACACATTATAGACTCACTACCTCAATTCGTACATCTAGAGTTGTTCTGGTGTTTCACACTTCTAAAGAGTAAAGTCGATCTGGATGAGCAAGTCAGCTTGCGGAAGAAAGAGATGGAAGGCTTACTTTCTCAGGGCCCTCCAGTTAAGAGAGACATGGATGAAGTGGACAGCAAGCATAAGATCATTGAAAGGCGATTCCAGGACCTTCTACAGCCTTTGGGTAGGAAGAGGAAAGAACTGGAGATGGCTAAGGCTGGATATCAGTTGGACCGGGATTTGGCGGATGAATTGGTGAGTGATGGCTAGATAGTTACTGGTTTTATTTGTGTAATTTAGAGAGAAGATATCAGAAGATGGATCACATGGATAGGTTGTTTCAGATATTAGGAAAATTGTGTAAGAATCCGTCTTTCGTCCTTTCTTGTAAACACGTTTGACATTTTGGCTGGTTACTTTAGTCTTTCTTCTCTAATGCAGCTTTGGGTGCAAGAACGACTCCCTCTTGCTCAGTCCACTGACCACGGCACAAATCTTTTGTCAGTCCAGCTACTTACAAAGAAAAACCAAGTGAGTCTCCCCATCATTTTGCATGTTTTTTCCCTCGCTTAATTCTACTTTTTAACAAAGCAATTGAACTTTTATTACAGTTATGAACATTCACAAACATAATTTTGTCTTTAGAGTCATTGTTAACAAAAGGAAGCAAAGCTTTTGTCTAAAGGCCTTTCTCCATACCCAACTAATTGTGAACTAAACATCTCCTAGCATCTTTACTTTACTGTATCCCATATTTGTTTTCATCTCCTTTTCAGTGCATGCATGAGGCATTCTTAAATTGGTCTTCTATGTACTGGAGTTAAGCTCAAAGCGTGTCATATCTGAAGTGCATGACCTTTAAGGCCTGGAACCATGCCTTCTTTTTTCATTCTCCATCAGGAATAAAAAATACAGTTTAATAAAAGGGACAACTCTATTCAATTTGTTTCTGATTTTACTCATTCATTTTTTTAAACCTGCTCTGCTCTTTGCCTAGACCCTGCAGAAAGAAATTACTGGTCATGCCCCACGAATTGAGGAAGTTGTTGCTAGAGGGGAGAGCATGTTGGCTAAAGCTGAAGGGAATGGGGACTTTAGAGACACAGAAGAATGTCTCAAGCAGTTAGAGGTTTCCTGGAGCACCTTACAAGAGGAAACTTTGAAGAGGCTGAAGCGCCTAGAAGAAGCCAGTGAGGCTCAGCGATACTATTTAGATGCTGGAGAAGCACAGGCCTGGATAAGTGAACAGGAGCTTTATATAGGGACAGATGAGAAGCCAAAGGTAAGAGCAGCTCCCATGCCAATGTAGTAGTATTTACCAGGTAGAAAACCATTCCCAAAGTGTGTTGCTTTCTAGGAAAATGGACATCCTAGCAGTATTGATTGGGAAGTAGACCTGTTCATCCCTGGGGACAGTTAAGACCTGCATATCTTATTCTATTGACTGGGATCTGGTATGATAGCATATGTCCTTCTGTGTGGATATATGCACGGTTCTGTATTGTATGATAATTTATAAGAAATTGCTTAACATTCTGGGTAGCAGTTTTTTAAAAAAGCAATGTGTGAAAGAGAAAGAAAATTTGTTTCTTCTCTTCTCTCTCATACACAAAGCATTGACTAGACTTCATCTAGTACATTTTCGGCAACAATTCTGCATTGTCCTGTTGATTCCTGAACAGCTGTGTCCCATGGATCTGAGCAGCATCCTTTCCAGCTGACCAATGAGAGGATGTAAAAAATTTAGAGGGCCTTGGTTACAAGAAGTAGGGAGAAATCTTGTGAGCCAGGAGTTCTTTTCAATGAGAAAAGGAAGATTGAGCTATAAAACTGTCCAAGCCTATGTAACCTAAGCCTGTTGATGAGGGCCATGTGGAAAGGGGGTTGGTTTTCCCTGGCCTTGTTGATAACTTGAGGAATGGACCTAGGATTTCCTTCACTGCCAAGATCAATCAATTCAATTACTTACCATCTCAGGATGAAGAGAGTGGCATTGTGATGCTGAAAAGACACCTTCGTCAGCAGCGATCCATAGACGAATATGGAAAAAACATTAAGCAGCTGGCCAGTCGGGCTCAGAAACTGCTAGCTGCTGGCCACCCAGAAGGGTGAGTACATTTGATAACAGTAACTCTGAAATCTTTGGAATATAATAGCCAGAAGAATCACAATCTACTGCATATGATTGAGTTGAGCTGCCTTTCCTTTTAGGTGACTTGTCTCCAAACTTTGTCTTTGTGGTTTTTCAGAGAAGATATCATCCGATTGCAAGGGCAAGTTGATAAGCAGTATGCAGGGTTGAAAGACCTGGCTGAGGAACGCAGACGTAAAGTAGAACTTGCATATCACCTGTTCAAACTGAAGCGAGAAGTTGATGATCTGGAGCAGTGGATTGCAGAGAGAGATGTAATCGCATCATCCCCAGAGATGGGTCAAGACCTCGACCATGCCACTGTGAGCAAGCACCGTGAGAATGTCCATCGGCCAGTCCATTGTGACCATTTTATTTTGAGGTGTAGACCATAGGTTACAAGTGGTGCAGTTTGGCTCTACACAATGTCCTGCAATAACTTGACAAGAAATTGCTGACAGGTGCATTACAATTACCTATATTTTGGTAGTTGGAAATGTATATATTACTCTTGGAGAAAGTAAGGATCACATGCTGTTTCTAGAAGGCCTCATGTTTCTTGAAACAAAAGCAAGAAAGCCTTTTTGCCATAACAATTTTACAGATATTTAAGATACTATAGAACACTATTTATAGTGTTCTAGAAAAAGTGTCTGTTATAAATACTAGACAGAGATAAATTATAGTACTAAATTCTGCTGAAGCTCTGAAACTTATAAAATAATTCCACCTATAACACCACCATTATTTCTTTATATTCATCAGGCTTTTTCTCTCTTCAAAAAAAAGTAAAAGAGACCATAGATAGGTGTATGAGTTAAGAAGAATGCAGTTCCATTATAGGGCTAGAATTATTCTCCCAGCTACTTCCCTTTCTTGTTAACATAGTAGATTTTAAAAGGCATTTGTTGAGATCTCTCTCTTCCCTTGTTTTCAAAATGCAGTCTATAATTGTAGGTCTCCAATCCCCAGAGGTACAATAATATGTGTCTATAGATATAAACAACAAAGCCAAGATAGGTGTCCACTAGTCTAGGTTATTCCTAATTAATTCAGGAGGTATTAAATAATTATCTGAGCCTTCCCTGATCATGGTTAGATAATTAAACTTAGCAACCATTTCTGCAGGCTAAACCTTTATAAATTCTCTGTGGATTAGCAACATCTTTTTTTTATTCGTGTCATCATTGTGAAAGTTCCTAAAATACCTCTCCAGGTGTAAAATACCTTTCCCTTATCTATTCATAAGGAATGGATCATTTTCAGTGTGGTCCACTGTAATGCGCCAAAAAATATTCTTATTTCTTACTGCTTGCACAAGTATTATCATAGTGAAGTACCCTTTGATAAAATTTTATGTATATATTTTATTAAATTTGTATGCTACCCATCTCTTTCCAAACAACTCTGGGCAGCTTACAAGACCATAAATAATAAAATAAACCAATTATAGGATTAAAGCATTATAACATCAGACATTAAAAGTTAAAACATTAAAATTAATATTAAAATTAAAATGTTTATACTAAACCGTTGAAAAAATTTGATTCTGTAAAACCTTGAGCAACACACTGCCTCATATATGAATAACCCTCCTGTGGTGGGCAGGATTATATGTACATGTTGCCTAATAAAGTTATGAAAAAAGGAAATTGCTAATCTTTAACAAGAGAAAGTGGGAAAGAAGTGCGAAGCAGCATTTTTAAGTTACTCCTGTGTTGGCATAAAAGCAGGTCTGATACCTGAAAAAGCCAAAGTTTGGGGTTTTTTTAAATTCTGAATCACCATGCAAAAATATTACAATCTTTTGGCTCAAAGATGAAGGGTACTGAAAAATATTTTGTTCATTCTGGTTTTGGTTCTTGACTAGCTCCTGCGGGAAAAGTTCCGTGACTTCGCCCGTGAAACAGGAAACCTGGGACAGGAGTGGGTGAACAATGTCACCCACAGAACTGATCAGCTGATTGATATCCACCCAGAAGCTGCCACGATTGCAGAGTGGAGGGATGGTTTGAATGAGAGCTGGGCTGACCTGCTTGAGTTGATTGACACCAGAATGCAGTTGTTGACAGCCTCCTATGATCTGCATAAGTTCTTTTATGATGGTAGTGAGATCCAGGTTCTTATTGAAGAGAAGCACAAGGAGCTGCCCGAGGAGTTGGGCCGAGATGTCAATACAGCCGAGTCCTTCCACAGGATGCACAAAGCCTTTGAGAGGGATATTCATCTGTTGGGAGTGAAGGTAACCTCTTAGCTTCTTAAAAACATGTGGGGCCATCTGGTGGCATCCTCTCTCGTTTTATGGCTGGGCTGAGGTGGCTAATTTACTGGTGAGATCTAACCAGAAACCAATAAACAGAAGGAACAGTCTGTATGAATTTACTTAAGCTAGTTGAGACTACTTACCCTTGGAAAGTTTGTTGAGCGTATGAAGTTAGATTTTGCCAGAGTGTTTCGAAACCAATACCAGAAGAAATTATTCTCCTTAATTAGCAGAGTTACAGTATCCACGTCAGATTTATTTCAACTTTTCCATTATTCGGTGAAAAAGGACAGGTGCATCCCCCATGTCTAATGTTAGAAAGTGGGTTTTGAGAAAGAGCTATATTCCCAGCCTTAGCTTGCCAGGGAGTACATATTCCCGTGATTCCTCCTCTCCACAAGAAGTGTTCTCTGCTCTGGCAGGTTCAGCGTTTTCAGGAAGTGGCAGCACGCCTGCTGGCAGCCTATGCTGGAGAAAAGGCCATGGCCATCCAGAAGCAAGAACAGGAGGTGGTAAAAGCTTGGAAAGCCTTGCTGGAGGCTTGCGAGGGGCGACGGGCTCAATTAGTTGATACAGCCGAGAAGTTCCGCTTCTTCAGCATGGTGCGAGATCTCATGTCCTGGATGGAAAATGTGATCCGGCAGATTGATACCCAGGAGAAGCCCAGGTGAAGCCCTTCTTTTGTTCCTTTTTTTTTTTGGCCCAGTCCCTGTAAAAACATAATAGGTCAGTGGGACACTCAGCAATGCTCCTCAGTTTATACTCAGAGATGTAAAATATTACCTCTAAAATCATCCTGATGTTTGTTTTCTCATTAAGAATTGTTTGTTCTTAATTTAAGGGATGTGTCATCTGTGGAATTGTTGATGAAATACCATCAGGACATAAAGTCTGAGATAGCCACTAGGGATAAAAGTTTCACTGCCTGCATCGATCTTGGGAAAGCTTTACTGCAGCGCAAACACCATGGTGCAGCTGAGGTGAGTGTTCTCCACAGCGGGCTTTACAACAGATTTAACCATCTGTTTTGTTTAGAGCACTCTAAAATGCTGTCCCATCTAGATTTTAAAGATGTAAGTAATACCATTGGTTGCTGGAAATAAAATAATTCTTTCCCCATTCTTGATTCTCAGAATCTTGTATGGACTTAGTTGTGAATGAAAAGAGAGACATATATTTTGATTTGTTTGTGATAAACAGTAAGAAAACTGGTTGAGCTCCAAATTCACCTTAAAGATAGGAAAAACAAAAAACAAAGAAGGGGCCCCTTCAGTTACCAGAGGTGGCTCTCTTGTGCTTTTGTCTAATAGACTAATGAACAAAAGAACAAAATCTACTTTTACACATCAGATTGCCCATTTTGAAATCTATCATTTAAAGGACGCAGAGGCAGGGCTTCCCTTGTTACGTTATTCTCTCAGCAATTTAAAGTATAATTGAAGCATTTGGGGGCACAAATGTTCTAGACAATAGCAACTGAATTTGTCTCTGATGTATCGCACACTATCTGTGCACAATCCTCTGCAAAGTAACCTACAGTGGGCTTAAAGTGTTTTTATAATATTGTCATGAATTAACCAAATGTGGCTTGTCAAGGCAATGATTTAAAAGCTAACCAGCTGATGTAATGTAAGATGTATGATATAATGATGGGAATGACTCAGCAGGGTCTATGTCCCTTTAAGAGCCTTTGTATAAAAAGGAAGGCTCTGCGGATGTGTTCTCTCCCTTCCATTTTCCTACTGTAACTGCTGTTTGTTGGATCCTGCTGTATTAACATGTCTATGTATATTGTTCCTGGTATATGATATTGTAGATAGTGTAAGATAAACTACCATTCAATGTAGACCACTGTTTACTGTGTTTACTACTGGGTTATCTCAGCGCAATAAGACTGTGCATGCTTCTTTATCAAAAGGAAAAGCAAAACGAAATGTGAGCAAATAAGATGAAATGTAAAAAAATTAGTCTGTTAATCCAGAAAAAATGCATACTTTTCCTCCTTTTCTTTTTAGATAAAGGAGAAGTTGCTACAACTGACAGAGAAGAGGAGGGAGATGATGGAAAAGTGGGACAGACGCTGGGACTGGCTTCGCTTGTGTGAGTACCGCACAAAGTGTCTCACCTCTTTGCACTGTCTATAAACTATTCTATGCAAATGGAATTTTCTCTCTCTAATAGAAGTGAAAATCCGGGTCCTCTAATAATGCTAAGTAAGGAGGATTTATCTTTGCCTTTATCTGAAGGTCCTGAATATATGTAATATTCCCTTTTGCTTCTTTGTTTTCCCTACAACAGTGCTAGAGGTGTGTCAGTTTTCCAGAGATGCTTCAGTGGCTGAGGCTTGGCTCATTGCCCAGGAATCCTACCTGTTTAGTGGTGATTATGGGCAAACTGTGGAAGGTGTAGAGAAACTGTTGAAAAGGCACGAAGCATTTGAGAAATCCACAGCAACATGGGAGGAGCGTTTTGCTGCACTAGAACGTCTCACAACAGTAAGTCATCCATGAGAGGAAGTTTTCTCTCTGTTTTTGGAAGTTCTTTGCCTTTGGGACTGTAGGGTGGATCAGAAGAGTTCATGCCTTTTTCGCCGAGCCCTGAAGGCCCATCTATTCCGTGCGGCCGGCCTGGCGTAGTTTGATTAAGTTTGATTATGTTTTAGTAGGGGTTTTGTATGGGGTGTTTTTAGAACAGGCCTGTAATTTAATTTGATTTTAGCATAGAAATTATTTATTTATTATTGTGGTTTTTAGTATCGCCTGTTCACCGCCCTGAGTCCTGTAAGGGAGATAGGGCGGTATATAAATTTAATAAATAAATAAATAAATGCAGCTGCTTTCATTATTCCAGCTTGCTGGAAGTGGCAGGACAGGAAGCTCTGGGGTAGAATTGTTGGGGATTAATATGAAACTTAACATCCTTGATGGCACTGGTGAATGTGAAGGTGTTTTAACCTTAGGGTTAAAGGTAGGTAGGGAAAGTGAACTGATACATATTGTATTATTATTTTAGAGATTCTTTTGTGGTAAGAGGAGATTACCATGGTGATAATTAAGGAGGAAGGAATAGGGTATGTGAAAGGAACATAGGATAAGGAAGAGATTGAGAAGGTGGAGGAAGGAAGAACAGTTCTGGCCTAGAACTGGGTCAGGCAAGGCTTTCGTTGGCTGGAGGGAGAGCAAGCAGTTTCTGAACAGAACAGAATAACAGAGTTGGAAGGAACCTTGGAGGCCTTCTAGTCCAACCCCGTTCCAGCAGGAAACCCTATAACATTTCAGGCAAATGGCTGTCCAATCTCTTCTTTAAAACTTCCAATGTTGGATCATTCACATCTTTTGGAGGCAGGTTGTTCCACTGATTCTGCTGAATCTGTAGAATCAGGTTGTGTTTGAAGGCCATGCCTGGAGTAGAAGGAATTGATAATAGCCCCTCATGTCCTTATCTAATCATTGTGTGTTTATAATATACAACACTTAAAATGATTTGAAAATAAAATAATACAGAAGCTGATATCCAAACAGAGCAATAAAGCATACAATGTATCTTAAATATTTCCATAAGTGGTCTGTCAGCCATCCTAGCTAGTGTTTTAAAGACTTTTTGAATAATGGTTGGTTGGTTGGTTGGTTGGTTGGTTGGTTGGTTGGTTGGTTGGTTGGTTGGTCGGTCGGTCGGATGGATAGACCAATTGATCTTTGGCAAATGTCATTCACTTCACCCCCTCATGAAATGCTGGGGAGGTGGTGGGCTTAGATGTGAATAAGTCAGAGATAATCTTGGAGAAACTATGGAAGTTATGAAATGTGTTTTAAATCCAGAAAACAAAATATTAGCAAGAAATTCAAACTGACCCTACCTTAATTCCTAGGGGGAAGAGAGGGAAAGAAAACACAGACTTCAAGTTCCTGTATGAACAAAATAACATTCTTGTTGAATCTGTTTCCTGACTGGGTTTGCCTCAAAGGGCTAACACAATGTCTGTTGGGTTCCCCTCAAATGGAACATCTTGCCCCTTAAAATGGAATCAGTTGCCTCCCTCCTTACCTTTTGGAAACCTGCAAAAGCTTAGTTGTCCCTTTATTAGTATGTCTGGGTGATTGGTATAAATGTGTAGAGATTTTTTATTGCATTTATTTTTGTACTTTAACTGTTATAAATTATACTGCCTTTATTATTAATTTCATAATGATGTTATGTTACAAGACTTGTTAGCAGCTGTGATGGAAACTAGATACCGGTAGAAGTAGCAGTAAGAAACAAAATACAGACTTTTATAGACAACACATAATTGAAATAGTGGACTTAATAATAATGTTTAAAAAATAATTTGTCCTTATTTAATAAAATTTATAATCATCAGAGAAAATATATAAGACTCTACAATATGAAGCAAGGAAGTTGATAGGGTGGGGTTGAAGGTCAAACATATAGAAATTAAGAGAAAAAGAATGGACAACAAGGGTGAAAACTACATGGGAAATGCTGACTCTCTCAAAAGCTGCTATAAGGAGTCTGTATTTGTTTAACCCACTGAAGATAGTCTGTTTTGCATCCAGCTTGAATTACTGAGGAAGAGAAAAATTTCAGAGGAGTCTTCACAGCACAAAGTAGCTAAGACTACGGACCTGGAATTTGACTTTGAGTTAGAGCCAGAATGTGAGATCAGGTAAGTTTCCTAGAGATCAGCTGCAGAGTAATCAGCTGCATTTTCATAATTAGTAATAAGATTTTAAAATTATAGTACACAGTACATTTCTTGCGATTCATGCAATAGATTTGTTATCTATCCCTAGTAAACCTAACCACTCAAATCTGTACAGTTGGAGCCATTATTGTTTCCCAAATTTAAAACATGCGTACAATATATAGGTTTTGAAAATGCAGCAAAATCATTGATTCTTTTCAGTCCATAGCCTGATATTCATTCCCTTCTCCCAAAAGTATGTTTTGGATGGATGGATGGATGGATGGATGGATGGATGGATGGATGGATGGATGGATGGATAGATAGATAGATAGATAGATAGATAGATAGATAGATAGATAGATAGATAGATAGATAGATAGATAGATAGATAGATAGATAGATAGATAGATAGATAGTATTCAGTCTGATCTTCTCTATGATAGTGACTGGTTTTAAATGGAAGGAAAGATTGTTTCTGTAATTATGAGAATTTTCTTATTTTCCACTGTTCGTTACATAAAGAAATATTTATATTACTCCTTTTTTCTTTCTGTAATTTTGCTCATGGTTTTGACTAGGTTCTAGATCTTACATGCAACTATAAATGTTTATTATATAATTAAATGCTCATACTCCATAAATCTATTTTACTATAGATAGTCCTTGATTTATGACCACAATTGAGTCCAAAATTTCCTTTGCTAAGCAAGACATTGTTAAGTGAGTTGCAGCACTTTTTATAACCTTTTTTTGCCCCAATTGTTAAGTGAATCACTGCAGTTGTTAAGTGAATCATGCTGTTGTTAAGTGAATCCAACTTCCCCCATTGACTTTGTTGGAAGCCAGATGGGAAGGTTACATAACGCTGGGACAGTGCAACTGTCATAAATACATACCAGTTGCCAAGTGCCCGGATTTTGATCATGTGACCATGGGAATGCTGCAATGGATGTAAATGTGAAAACTTACACTTTTTTTCAGGGCTGTTGTAACTTCTAGCGGTCACTAAGTGAATGGTTGTAAGTAGAGGACTACCGGTATTCTAGACTTATAGTATATGGATATTTTACTTACATTTTATTAACAGCAGGCATTAACATTTTCAACATCAAATGTCTTTATGAAAAGAGAAATTAAGTCAGTTATATCATTTCAGTTTTAACATTTACTTAGAATACACTTTTGTTTGCTATAGGCCTACTGAAAAGGATGGGAAGAAGGAACTAAGTTTAGAAGATGCCCTTTCCCATGCTGCAGAAGATTCATCACTGGTCAGTTACCAGTTTTAGTTTACCCTTCCTAGAAAATTCAGCAGCTTTAATGCAGCTTTTCATATTTGTGTTGTATTGTTTACCATCTGCACTTTTGAAATGGTGAAATGCAAATGTGTCTTCTGTTTGAGCAAGAATTGATACTTTAAATGTACCTCACAGTGATATTAATTTATTTGAGGGCAAAAGACATTTTAGCAGAGAAATCCAGAGGCGAGAAAAAAAGGGAGCGCCTGTGTGACAGCAGGATAATCATTTCCCAGTGTTGTTAGGCTGGGCTTATGCTGATAAGGCAATAAGATATGGGAGGATCTCTTTTCTTCCATTTGGGGGAGTGGGAGGTGGTTGTTCAGCTTTTAAAATAAAGTTTTGGGGTTTTTTTTAAGAGTACCTCCTAGTGCAGTTTTTCTCCCCTTCCTGAGTATAAGTTAGGACAGGGGTAGTCAACCTTGGCTCTTTTATGACTCGTGGACATCAACTCCCAGAATTCCTGAGCCAGCTATGCTGGCTCAGGAATTCTGGGAGTTGAAGTCCACGAGTCATAAAAGAGCCAAGGTTGACTACCCCTGAGTTAGGAGAATGGGAGAGCTGTGATCTTGAATCACTGAGTTTAGCCTTTACTTTTGCCTTCTGAACCAGATGTGAATGAGTTGTCAAAGCCAGGGAGGAGGCCACCAAGGAGCTGAAAGGCACCGAGGTTCTACCACTCCTTGCCCGGCATCTTCAACACACGCAGGGTCCACGCAGCAGCAGCAGCAGCAGCAGCGATAGCTGTAGCACAGGGGAAGCCCAAAGACAGAAGGTTGGTGGAAGGAAGGAACCACTGCTGTGCTCTGCAATTCCCAGGATGGCAGCTGCTTCCGTCGGCACCAAACTGGAGCTGCCAGCAGCCTTCTTTTCCTTCTTTCAATTGTGAGAGCAGAGACCAGACCAGGCGATGCCTCCAAGACCGTGGCGTGTTCCCTAGCGCCTGCTGTTGGCAGCACTCTTTATGAAGCAGGAGAGCAGAAGCTGTTGTGTGACCATTTTCTTTTTTCCCCCACCTACCTTCAGCTGGCAAAGCCTTGGAGGGTTCTGGCACCTGAGCTGTCTCATTGGGGGTGGGGGGACTTTGAGAACTTTGCCTTAGTTACACCCCAAAAGACTCTACAGTACTTACACACTTCCTCTGCAGCATTGTGCAGAAACGGATTCCAAGATTGGAGATTCCTCTCTGCAAGCAAACATGCTGCACTGCATTATGAGGCCTTTCCTAGTTTATAGCCCTATAGTACTGATAGCTGCCTTTCCTAACTATTGAATGACAGAACCTTTTACTCATCTGAACCGGCAGAAAAATCTACCGGCACCATATACAGCTCCCATTGCCACTCTCTGTCCTGATTCTGTGGTTTCTGTTTCCAAATCCCTCTAGGATACAAACGCCTAACAGATTTTATACATCTTGAAGTTAGCTATTTTTGGACAATGACAAAGTAAGGGAGGAACTAACATTTTATGACTTAAGAGTGTCTGACTCATGGAGTGGGGAAAAGATTTAAGACAATGCCTAGGAACATGGCAGAAAAAAGAGGTTGCTAGACCCTGTTTATGCAATGGTTAATGGAGGAGGGGAAAGGCCCATTGTGCCAGATAATAAGCTAGGGACCACTGAATTTTTTTCCTTAGTCCAATGGCAATTTGTATTATTATTTTAAAACGTATATTGTTATCTTTTATCATCTGAAATGTCATTTATTTGAAATTCTTTAACGTCTGCATTTGCTGCCATCCTTTCTGGCCCTTGTGTTGGTACAGTTTTTATATCATTACTTCTTTTGTAATTAGAATCTTTAATAAGACATTGTATTTTTTATAATAATTCTAAGTTTATATCTGTTGGTCCTTTTCATAAGTTGAGAAGGAAAACCGCATTATTTGAAGAATTTTTGAGCCAATGGAAGACTCTGTTAAAGGAAGAGAGGGATGTGATTCTTCTGTATCCAATCATAGTAAACTTCTGTATTATTGTAGAGATTTTCCCAGGACATACCTTCTGGGGGGTCCCAGGGAGCTGTTGGGAAGAGGGAAGAAAAGACAAATATAGTCTCTCCCTTTTTTTACTGGTATCCATAGGTTCAGTTGGAAAGGCACAACTGCATTTTATTGATATTGTTTTGCTGAGAAGGAAAAAAAATGACATTTTCAACTGTCCAAGTCAGAACATTTAACGTCTAAATAAAACCACAAATTACGATACGTATAGAATTAGAGTTCTTGACTTATCTTTCAGACTCCCTTGCAAGGGTATTCTGGAGAGCTCTGTTGTATTGTCAGCTATGAATGTCGACATTCTTAATCAACACTTTCAAAGGATATCTGTCACATTTATCTACAGATGTAATATTTATTATTGGTTATTAGGAACTTAGTCGAATTCAACAGTGTAAACGGTCAAAAGCAGAATATATCCATTCTTAATTTAATTAGTGGTCGCTTTCTTTAGAGTAATTCTCGAGAGACTTTCCTCTTTGCAGGCCTGATCCTGAGCTGTATATGCAGCCCAAGAAGCCTTGGCTTCCAAGTGATTTTATTTAGCCCAGCTGTGTCAAACGAATGAATGCAGAGATATTCATCACCCCAATCTTCCTGCTGATTCTGAGATGTTTTCCTGTTTCCTTCCCACAGTTCTGAAGGGTTTATGGATCACGAATTGAAACTTTAACCGGAAAATCCCTTGCAAGCAGAAGAAAGAGGCTTTATTTTTTTTATATATACCTTTGGAAAACCATTTGTAAAAGATCTGTCGCGTGCAAGGACTTTGAATCAAACCAAACACCCCATCAAAATACTTTATAATTATTTTTTACTTGCTTAATTATTATTTTTTACTTGCTTTCTCTCCTTTCTAAATTTTCTTGAGCAATCAAGATAGGCTTGTGAGTTTTCAACATGGAAATCTTAAAATAAAAGATGCTCAGGCGTTTATAACAACCGGCATTGTTTTGGAGATAGTGACTTACTCTAAAGCCAATTCTCAAAGTCTGGTATTTTTTTAAAAAAAACATTTTTCCCTAGAAGGCAAGCAATGGGAATATGGATAGTAAATATATACAAAGAGAAAGTATATATCTTCATTCTTGAAATTAAATCTGAATGCCCTTATTACTCAACAGATAGTGGGGCTGTTTCAAGGTTTCTGTACTACCGCTTTCTATTCTCCACCATTCTATTCAGACCTGTCCGAGATAGCCCAGGTCTGCTCAAGGCCAAACCAGATGACTGACTAAAAAGTGGAGAATGAAGTTTAACTGAGATCGTCAGAAAGTTTGTAAAAAATAACATCTGCAGACTTCACAGTTTTTTTTTGTCAAATGGAAGATTTGTTTCCCCAGCATCACATATAGGATCAGAGACTGAATGGAGAAAAAAATTACAGAGCACAGTGACATGGCCTGGGAACGGGGGTAATTTCATTTGAATACCCGATCAATTAATTATATATCTTGATATCTCCTTTCCTATTTTATACTGAACCATCACAGCTCATGATAAGTGGGAGGCCTCCAGAATCCAACACAGCAAAACCTGAAGGATGTGCTCCAGGAGAGGGAAATATTAGATCATGCCAATACTCCTTATGTCTGTTATGTTGTAGCATGGAAAAAGAAGTAGCTGCTCTTGTGGGAAAGAAGTTAACAAATTCTGTGATTATATTTTCCTATAACAGTTTGTGCGACATGGTAGTAGATGAAAATCAGCAACAGGTTAAATTGTGAAAATTAAGAGCATGATTGATCATTTCATCTTGCAGTCAGAGTTCCCATACATCTCAATGAATTGTACAAATCCTATTTTGAGTGTTTAAAATGAAAGCATAGCAAGTATGTTTGAAAAATAATTATTAATTGAAAGGAACTTTTATTTTAAATCAGAACCATCAAGAGGGAAATGAGTTGAGCCAAAATAATTGAAAAGGAACTATTATAACTGGCTTGAGATGTTCTAGGGATGGTGTGCAAACTAGTTCAATAATCTATTTGCATTGCCTTCTATGAAACCTAACTTCCAAAATTATTTATAGATGTAAATATATGCATATAAATGTGCATATACAAACTTCATATAATTGCCTTGTAGAGCTACTGTGTCTCTTGAAAACACAGTGGAATAATTTGTTGGTAAGAATAGCATCCTCACATCTCCAGAAATACAGAGAATTTATTCTATAGATGGAAGAGGAAAAGAAAGTCAGAGGGTAGAATTCATAGCTAATGCTGTTTCCTCACTAAGGATGTGCATTAGCCAATTATCACTGGGCTATATAAAATCTGCCTTCATTTCTGTTGACACAGATGATTGGGTGACACTTTAAGATACTATAAATGTCCAGCAAAGAAATAGCTTAACACCAAGCTCTTTGGTAGACATTTACTGAGTGAACTTAGTATATCGCTCATTTCTCTTGGACAAAATTCACAAGTTCTTTATGCTTACATATAGGAAGGGGGGAAAGGCCATAACCTGACTGTACCATTTCTTTAAAATGTCTGGAAAAACATCCATAATATTGATTTTTAGGTAACATTGCATCTGCTTTAGAGACACATTTCTACTCAAAGTAGAATGGATGAATTGTTGAAATTATTTCTGCTATTTATCAAATTTATATGGCCGTCCATCTCACACAAAATGAGTCTGGGCAGCATACAACAAATAATTAAGACAATGAAATGTATATATAAAACAATCATTAAAATATATAGAAAACCATAAGGCATAAGAGAGAGTGAATGTTAAACACAGTGGGGGAGCCATTTTAGGATTTCACTGCTCCCTTGAGACCTCCAGTCTGGATGACACAACCAGGTGTTAAGAAACCTCCGGAATATTAACAGGGATAAAGCTAACCTCACCTTAAGGGGGAGAATATTCCACAAGGTAGGTGTCACAGGAGAGAAAACCTACCTCCTGGAACTGGTACCTACAACATGCCTTCCCTACCAGATCTGATGAAAAGG